CCCCCCCCCCAAACCTCACCCTTAGATAAGTTAAAATTGATGGCAAAACCCTGGCCTGAAGAGAGCAATTCATAGCTATTGTTTCAGACTCTAATCATCCCCACAACTGCCATAACTCAGTTAAGACCCTGCCACCCAGAGGAATAGATTGCTTCGCACCTCTTGGATTTCTGCAATGCTAAGTCTGTAGTCCTATAATCTTTAATACCAGACACATTCACACTACAAATCTGATACAGATCAGACATGCAGCTTCCATCAAGTTCACTAGAACCCAAGCAACTCTTTAGGCTGCAGGAGGAAAAGGTAGCATACTAGAAACAGATGTACAGTATAAAGCCTTTGTATAGATAAAGGAGGGCTACTTTTGTTTAAAAAAAAAAAAAAAAAAGTTGTGACCATGTATCAGAGGAGAACTTTGCATCATGTGGCCATGACATTCTTCCTCCAGTACTAGACATCCCCAAACCAGATTTAGTCTACTCTATAACCACAGCATCAGCTGCAGATAAAGCCAAAGATAAAGCAAACCGAAAGAATCTGTAAAAGCTTGCAGTTGACTACACGCACCAGTGGAGCCTATGTTGTCGGAGTGTTACAGCAAAACTTAATAGGGACTGTAAGAAAGAACATTGACCTCAGTTATTCTAATACTATACCCTCCATTGAATAAAACTTTCAAAACCACTATTCAATGCATTTGCTTGACCTAATCTCCAGAACCTCTCCCCATCTTCAAAACGCTGTACTGCGTGGTTGCTGCACTAAGAGCCATTAGTGCCACAGGAGGAAAGATGGCATATGAGAACATAGCTCAACATGTACTGCCTAAGCAAGTCAGTCTTACACAGCCCTGCCTTGACCAGCTATTTGTTCCCAGTCTTGTATTGCCTCCTACTGACAACACTTTTTGTAGAGTAAGGCTGGAAACTGATCCAGCTGGAAAAATACAGGGGAAAAAAGGAGTGTTTTCAGTGTATCTCAGCTAGCTTAGTTCCCCAACCCACTTGACTACACAATGCAGAAAAGGTGTCCCAGAGCAGGA